CCGGGGTCAGTCCAGGGTCAGTCTGGGGTCAGTCCGGGGTCAGTCCGGGGTCAATTCCGTGGACAACTCAGTCCAGGATCAGTCCGGGGTCAGTCGGGTGTCAGTCCAGGGTCAGTCCGGGGTCAGTCCAGGGTCAGTCTACGGGGTCAGTCCAGAGTCAATGTACGGGGTCAGTCTGGGGTCAGTCCAGGGTCAGTCCGGGGTCAGTCCAGGGTCTGGGGTCAGTCCGGGGTCAGTCCGGGGTCAGTCTGGGGTCAGTCTGGGGTCAGTCCGGGGTCAATCCGGGGTCAGTCCGGGGTCAGTCCGGGGTCAGTCCGGGGTCAGTCCGGGGTCAGTGCGGCGGGGTCAGTCCCGGGTCAGTCTGGGGTCAGTCCAGGGTCAGTCCGGGGTCAGTCAGGGGTCAGTCCGGGGTCAGTCTGGGGTCAGTCCGGGGTCAATCCGGGGTCAGTCAGGGGTCAGTCCAGGGTCAGTCGGGGCTACTCCGGGGTCAGTCTAAGCGGGCCGATCTAGTTTTTGGAATTGCGGAAGGTTGGCGCAGAAACTCGCGATTTAGTTTAGCCGAGACCCAGTTTCATCGATATTTGTTTTAACGAGCGGAGGGTAGTAGCAGTAGTAGTAGTAGTAGTAGTAGTAGTAGTAGTAGTAGTAGTAGTAGTAGTAGTAGGTGGTTAGTAGTAGTAGTAGTAGTAGTAGTAGTAGTAGTAGTAGTAGTAGTAGTAGTAGTAGTAGTAGTAGTAGTAGTAGTAGTAGTAGTAGTAGTAGTGTAGTAGTAGTAGTAGTAGTAGTAGTAGTAGTAGTAGTAGTAGTAGTAGTAGTAGTAGTAGTAGTAGTAGTAGTAGTAGTAGTAGTAGTAGTAGTAGTAGTAGTAGTAGTAGTAGTAGTAGTAGTAGTAGTAGTAGTAGTAGTAGTAGTAGTAGTAGTAGTAGTAGTAGTAGTAGTAGTAGTAGTAGTAGTAGTAGTAGTAGTAGTAGTAGTAGTAGTAGTAGTAGTAGTAGTAGTAGTAGTAGTAGTAGTAGTAGTAGTAGTAGTAGTAGTAGCAGTAGTAGTCGTTGTAGTGGTGGTGGCGGTGGTAGTAGTAATCGTCGTAGTAGCAGTAGTTGTAGTACCCGTAGGTGTAGTAGTAGTAGTAGTAGTAGTAGTAGTAGTAGTAGTAGTAGTCGTAGTAGTAGTAATAGTAGTAGTAGCAGCAAAAGTGGTAGTAGTAGTAGTAGTAGGAGGAGTAGGAGTAGGAGTAGGAGTAGGAGTAGGAGCAGGAGTAGTAGTAGCAGTAGTATTTGTGGTAGTAGTAGTAGTAGCAAGTCGCACTAGTAGTAATAGTATAAGTAGAAGTGGAAGTAGAAGAAGAAGTAGTCGTAGAAGTAGTCGTAGTAGTAGTAGTAGTAGTAGTAGTAGTAGTAGTAGTAGTAGTAGTATTCATAAGTGTGTAGTAGTTGTTGTGAGTGTCGCACTAGCAGTAGCAGTAGCCGTAGTAGTCGCAGTAGTAGTAGTACTAGCAGCAGTAGCAGTAGTAGTAGTAGTAGTAGTAGTAGTAGTAGCGGGAGAAGAAATAGTCGGAGTAGTAGTAGTGGGAGAAGACATAGTCGTAGTAGTCGTAGTAGTAGTAGTAGTAGTAGTAGTAGCAGCAGTCGTAGTCCTAGTAGCAGTAGTAGCAGTAGTAGTAGTAGTAGTAGTAGTAGTAGCCGTAGTCGTAGTCGTAGTCGTAGTCGTAGTCGTAGTCGTAGTCGTAGTCGTAGTCGTGGTAGTAGTAGTAGTAGTAGTAGTAGTAGTAGTCGTCGTCGTCGTCGTCGTCGTCGTCGTCGTCGTCGTCGTCGTCGTCGTCGTCGTCGTCGTCGTCGTCGTCGTAGTAGTAGTAGTAGTAGTAGTAGTAGTAGTAGTAGCCCTAGTCGTAGCCGTAGTAGTAGCAGAAGAAGTAGCAGTAGTAGTAGTAGTAGTAGGAGGAGGAGGAGCAGGAGGACCCTCCGGCCAAGCTCTCTCTTCGTAGGTCCCTGGAAGAATGTCTGGTCATCGTTGAAAGTGGCCCACTAGAGGACAACCGTTTGAGAATCCTCAATTGTGCCAAACCAAGGTCTGTGGGATTACGACGCCGCGCATCAATACGATTGTTGCGTCTTGCCAATCCTGAATTGTGCCTGAACGCCATTGTTGCGATTTCAATCCTGCGAACAACGTGACAGTTGCGTCCTGGCAACCGCGAATCGTGCCAGGACCCCACTCCTGTGGCCTCGGCCATAAGAATCTTCGAAACTGCTGCGATGGTTTATAACGAATGTGCGCGGCGTGAAGGCGAGAGCCACATTTTGAAAACCATCCGCCCTCCATCCGCGAAGCTGTTGCAAACTTTTAGATGTTATATCGAATATGCGCGGCGCGAAAGCGAGAGCCACATTTTGAAAATCGCCCTCCATATGTGCAAGTGTTACACGGGTTCACAATGAATGCGCGCGGCGCGAAGGCGACAGCCACATTTAAAAACCACCCGCCTTCCATTGGCGAAGCTGCTGCAAACGTTCAAAGCGTATGTGCGCGGCGCTAAGGCGAAACTGCTGGCAAATTCCTTCAGGAAAATCGTGAAACTGCTGTATGATCCTGAAACAAAGTTTCAGAATCATACATGGCGAAGAAGTCTCAGGCGAAACGCTGGGCCCGTCCTACCGACACGCCTGGGGGTGCGACAGGGAGGCTTTATCTATTTTGCCTGCGGCAAACCACGCCACCGCGCTTGTGCAACAGCGCTGCACGAAGGAGACTGCGTATAGGAACAGCTCAATTCCGACGAACAGGGTTCACACGCGGAAAGCGTCACATGTGACTTGTCGGACGTTGGTCACGCGCGGAAGCCGTCACATGCGACACGCTGGGCGTGGGTCCCACGCGGAAGCCGTCACATGTGACATGTCGGGTGTTGGTCACACGGGGAAGCCGATGTGACATGTTTGGCGTGGGTCTCACGCGGAAGCCGTCGCATGTGATACGCCAAGGGTGGGTCAGATGCGGAAGCCGTCGCATGTGGCATGTTGGGCGTGGGTCGCACGCGGAAGCCGTCACATGTGACATGTCGGACGTTGGTCACACGCGGAAGACGTGATTGGTACGGGTCGTGATTCGGACCTCGTCTTCGCCCGCGTGGTAGGGAGGAGGAGGAGGAGGGGGAGGAGGGGGAGGAGGAGGAGGAGGAGGAGACGAGGGAGCAAATGAGAATGAGGAGGAGAAGGCCTCTGGGGCCTTCTGGGGGCCTCCCGGGAGCTTCCCGAAAGCTTCTTGGGGGCAGGTTGCGGGCCTCATGGGGCCTCTTGGAGGCCTCGTGGGGCCCCTTGGGCAGTCTGTCGGGACTCTTGGCCCGCCTGACGCCTACGGATGCCGCCTTGGGGGCCTCCTCTAGGCCGTGTTGGTGACCTCTTGGAGCGATTCACAGCTGTCGTGGGGCCCTCTTCGGAGCCCCTTGGGAGATCTTTGGGCCCTGGTGGGCCGACTTGCGGCACTCTTGGGGGTCTCTTGGGTTGTTTTGGAGCTATCTTGGAGGCCTCTTGGAGGCTTCTTGGGCCGTCATGGGTGGTCGGAAGCCCGAGCAGGCGAGAACCTCAAAACCCTTCAAAAGCCTGGAGAAAATCGATGGTGTTGGCCTCCCCAGGCTCTCCAGGAGGGCCTCTTCGAGCCTTCTTGGGCCGTCTTAACGGTTTCTTGATCTGTCTTGAGGTTGTTTGGGGAGCCTCTTGAGCCGTCTTGGGCCATCTTGGTGTCATCTTGGATGCTTTGAAGCCGTCTTGGAGGCGATGTGGCCCCCAAGAAGGCCCCAAGGCAGATTAAAGAGGCCCCCAAGATGGCCCAAGACATCTCCAAGAGGTCGTCTAGGAGAGCCCGGGAAGGCCAACACCATTTACTTTTCGCAGGATTTGAAGCATTTAAACAGTTGTGGCATGTTTGGGTTTCCGACCACCCAAGACAGCCCAAGAGGCGGTCTGAAACCCTACCAGACGAGAATTCCAACATCTCGTAAACATATGAGGAACATCGATGGTGTTGGCCCCCTCAGGCTCTCCAGGAAGGCCTCTTGGAATTTGTTCCGCAGTCTTGGCGGCCTCTTGGGCCGTCTTGAGGCCGCCTTGAGAGACTCTTGAAATATCTTGGACCATCTTGAGCCATGTTGTTATCGTCTTGGCTGTCTTGGCAGCCGTCTTGGAGGCCATCTCGGCCGCCTGTAGGCAGAGCAGACCGGCAGAAAGCAATGTCAGAACGGGCGGTGTTCGAACCACGCGGCACCTTGGAGCGGGGAGGACGGGGGGGCCCGAGAAAGCTTTGAAACGCTTCCTGGGCATCAGACGAGCATGACGGAAAGAGCGCAAGCGAGAACCGTTCTGCACAGGGCTTCAGGCACAATGGGGGGGATTGGCCGGGGGCGGTTTGACGGAAAGAGCGCTAGCGAGAGAAGTTCTGTATAGGGCTTTCGCCCCAACGGGAGGGGGGTCTAGGGTGGGCGTGGCGGGGGAGATTTTTCTAACACGCCTTCCTGGGGCCATGTTGGCTGCTTTTTCGGCCCAGGACGGTCCACGAGACCCCCAAGAGGCTCCCAAAAGACGGCTTAAGATACCTCCAAGACGGCCCAAGAGACGCCCAAGAGGCCCCAAGACAGCCCAAGAGCGCTCCAAAAACGGCAACGAAGGCCCCAAGACGGTCCAAGAAGCCCCCCAGACGGCCCAAGAGGCCCCCACGAGGACTTCCAAGAGGGATTCCGGAGGCAAAAACCATGTATTGCCTTGAACTTTTTTGAGGATTTGGGGGCCCTCCCTTTTTCGAAACAAAAACGGCCACACACGGCCCTGGGGGCCTCCGAGGTCGCCCCAACATGCCCCCGGAGGCGCCCCAGAGAGGGCCGGAGAGCGGCCCCAGAGCGCTCCAGGACGGCCCACGACAGCCCCCAGGCGGGCCAAAGGAGGGCCCCCCGCCCCGCTCCCTCCGCCCCCCCCCCCTCCCCGGGCGGCCCCAGCAGCGCCCGCCTGTGCCCCCCCTTCCCCCCGCGGCCGGCCGCGGCAGACCGCTCCGCCCTCGGCGGCAGCGGGCGCCCCGCGAGCGATGCGGGGGCGGTCGCCGCCGGAGGCCACCAGGAGCCAGGGTGGGCGAGGAGGAGGAGGAGGAGAAAGAAGAGCAAGAAGAAGCACATACGAAACGCAAGAAAAAGGAAAAAGGAAGAAGGAATATTGAGGAGGAGGAGGAAGAGGAGGAGGAAGAGAAGGTGGAGGAGGAAAGCGGAGGGAGGAAGGAAGAAGGAGGAAGGAGGAAGGAAGAAGGAGGAAGGAGGAAGGAAGAAGGAGGAAGGAGGAAGGAAGAAGGAGGAAGGAGGAGGGAGGAGGGAGGAGGAGGGAGGAGGGAGGAACAGGAGGAGGATCTTACAGATTTCTACAGGCCAAGCCATCAAAGACTCGAAGCTCGAGTAACGGCGGCGATGAAAGCTGCCCCTACCCCAGGCCGCCCCTGGGCGATAAGGTTCGACGTTGCTCAAAATAGTTGTCCTGTGGTTAGGTGCCGACCTTCCCACGGACGGCCCAAACGCTCAGCCATGACCCGAGGGTTTCCCCCAGGACAGCCGACCAGCAAACGAACAATCGACCTGTCGTGAGTGTACACGGCCCATCGATGGCAGAAGATTGTTCTGGGGAGGCATATTGGCTCAGGCCCCTGGCGCGGGCTCGTTCGATCCTGCCCCTGTCCCCCACCAACCCGAGCCTCGGGGCGGGGGTGCCAGGAGGCGGAGAATGGGGGGGGGCTCTGTGGCCCCCTGGTCACACCCACCAGGCAGGGGACTCGATCCTTCGGAGGTGCAAAAGCTGTATATAGGCTGCTCGGTGCCACTCGGGATGCTGATGCCCCTTCGCTCCTAGCTTCGCATACCCGTCGGCTAACTGATTGCCCTCCCATCGCTCGAGGCCCATGTCGCTCCGCTGGGCCCTCGTCGCGTGGGCTTCCGTTCTCTCGAAGCTCATCTCGCACGGCCCCAGACCGCCGTTTTCAGCGTCCAGGGCCCATCGGTGCGCTCACACGTCTCTGCGCTGCGCGGCTGGGCGCGCCGCCCACGAGGGCCCTCCCGGGAACCCGTCGATGACCGACTGACAATCCGAGAAGAGGAGGAGGAGGAGGAGGAGGAGGAGGAGGAGGAGGAGGACCACCGGCGGGCAGGCTGCCTCAAAGCACGCGGGGGCACGGCCGTCGGCTCGCCCTTGGAACATTGCACAGCAGGCTGCTGCCCGTGCACACGCTGCCCGTGGCGAACCACCGCAACTTCGCCCTCTGCGCTGAGGGCGTGGGGGTCTCATAGGCCCAGCTCCACCGCCAGATCGTCTGCCGAGCTTCGGCCACAGAGCTGCTCCGCCCCCAGCCACGGATTGCCCCACCCCCCCCTCCCCCTCTGCACAGCGGGAGCCCCGCCCACGCAGCGTCGGTGCTCCTGACGCGCTGAGCAGGCGACGGTGCGTTGTCTGTCCGTGCCCTCGCCCGCGCTGCACGCCTTGCAGCTGGCATCTGGCGCCGCTCAGTTGGCATGCAGCCTCGCTTTGAGGCCACGTGCCTCCACACCACAGCGTCCTCACTCGAGTCTGACACGCCTGCGTCCGGCACCCGCGGCACGGCCGCCGCAGGAGCGCTCGCACAGGCTCCACGACGATCGACTGCATGATCAACTCCTGCCCCCACTGGGCCAGCCACGAGTCTTTGAGGCCCTGCTCGGTGGCAGTGCGGACGTGGTGGTGGAGCTTGTGGAGGGAGATGGCCCTCATTTCGACAATGGTTTAGCCGATGGTGATCGAGCGCGCGGCCTGCGTCATCCAGCCAAGCCCCCTCACCGTCGCCACAAAAGCCCCCGCTGAGTCCCTCACTTGCTACCACGGGGCCTTCGCTCGGCACACCTTGAGGACCCACCGCTGCCACGCGGTCTGGGGCCTCCGCACTAGGCTCGGATCTTCTGCGTCCTGCCAGGTCCGCGCCCACGCCAAGACCAGGGACGCATTTGCAAGGGTGCTTGGGTCCACGTTGTCCGCTTGCAGTGTCAGGTACGTGGACATCCCCTTTATGTTGCCTGGCATGGCCGTGGTCACGCTCTGCCGCAGCTCGCTCAGCTTGGTGTCCGCCAAGCCCATGCCCTTGACGCTGCACAACAGATCACCTTTTGCGCTAGCCCACCAGCGCGACTGACCCGCGCGATCCTGTTTTTCCTGGCGGCGGATTTGACGGCCCTCTCGTTGAACGCTCCACTCGCCGATACGTGCCCGCGGCGGTTGTCACCCCGAGGTGTTTGTCCTGATTATCCATCCTCACGCCGTGCGGTCGAATGCGCTTGTTGATCTCCGACTCCAGTGCCCACGTCGTCGTCATGTTGGCCGTCTTGCCGTCTACGCCCCTGGAGACTACCATGTCCAGGACCACCTCGAACATTTGCATCAGCGTCTGCACCAGCCTTGGATTACAGCACCGCACGAGCTCCCTCACGCGGTGCATCACCATCGCCAGGTCGTCGAAGAAGAGGCACGCATTTGTGGCCTCGACGACCCCGTCCAGCTCCACGTGGATGACCATTCTGAGGCACAGGGGCGCAAGCCTGCCACCTGCCACGGTGCCTCTGGCCCCTCGCCGCCTCTCGGTGTGACGCCCGCCCAGGGAGATGCGGCCCACCATGGCCTTGAGGACGATGCGCGCGGGTGGTAACGGGGGGTGACCTAAAGGGGTGGGGGGGGTGGAAGACAGGGGCCCAATAGGGGCATTTTAGGGCCCCTTTGAGAAACATCAGGGGCACAAAAGCGGACCTACAGGGGCCTCTTTAGGGCCCTTTCCTTCACGCCCCAGTTCGGTCATCCCCCATTGTCACCCGCCCGAACGATGCGGTTGAAGCCCCACCGCGCGCCCGCCGTCCAGACGATCTCGTGGATCACGCACTCGAAGCATCCGACCAAGTCGAAGTACGTCACGGCGTACTCGAGCCCCTCCGCGGCCGTCGCCGCGTAGAAGAGCGCCAGGACCCAGGCTGCCCTCTCGCTCGAGCGACCCCTGGCGTCCCAGTCTTCGGTCCGCCTGCTCGCCTCCTCCCAGCGCTTTCGCACAGGGCAGACGGCGGGCATCCCACAGCCTCGCCAGCTCTGGGAGCAAGCCGAGGCTTCTGTGGCCGCCGGCGGGCCGGGTCGACAAGCAAGACAGGATGTTGGACTGCGGGATGGGCCGTGGCGGCCCCGCCTCCACCGCTTGGAGCGCGCTTGCCACGCGCGCTGCTCCCTGGACGCCTCCGTGCTTCCAGAGCCACGGGTGCCCGCCTGGCTCCCCGAGCCCCGCTTTGGCACGGAAATTGCCGCCGACCTCCATCACCTCCTTGGGCGTGATTCAGGAGGGAAAAAGACGCACAGACACAATGAATCGTCGACTCCCCAGAAAATATGGCAAAATATGGGAAGTGGTTGGGAAGACAGAAACCCAGAAAATATGGGAAAATATAGGGGGATCTTTTTATTTGTGTATTTATGTGTGTGTCCTGGGGCCCCTTCAATCACCTCCTTGGGCGTGACGGGCGGCGCCCGGAGCTGCTCCCGTTCGAAGTCCGTGGGCGGCTGGCACCACGGCGCGGGCGGGTCGTACTCATCTCCCCGGATCTCCTCCAAACCCTCGAGCGGGTGGTTGGTGGCCGCCTGCGGGTGCACGAGCGCGCGCTCGGAAGATAGTGCCCCAAATGCGTGCGTAGTATCCTTACTCTTTTCTTCGCATCTCTTGGCGGAGGACAGGAGGAGGAGGAGGAGGAGGAGGAGGAGGAGGAGGAGGAGGAGGGGGAGGAGGAGGGGGTAGAGGAGGAGGGATGACGTCGAACTCGCACGAACTTGACACCCACGCGGCTCCATTCGCGTGCGGTTACAGCCAGACGCCGCACTGAACTCGCCCTGGCTGAACTCGCACGCACTGAACTCGCACCGGCTCTACTCGCACGCCAGTTGCCAGGTACCAGGGGATCCTTGTCCTCCGCGTGCGGGTCAAGTGCGTGCGAGTCTAGTCCGTGCGACTCTGAGCCGCGCGAGAAGAGCTCCTTGCGAGCGCGGATCCGTGCGGGGGCAGTTCCGTGCGAGGCCAGCTCCTTGCTAGAGAATTGTTTGCGGGTATGTCGCGTTCGAGTTCAGTTGCCTCGCTCTTGCGGGCTCCAGGCTCCTGTAGCCTCGGTTGTATCTTGTGTCCGTTCATCTGGCGTCATCCTCCTGTGTCCATTACTCTAATTCTTCGTATCCCTCGTCGGGCGTTCCTCCTTCGTCGTTCTTATCATACATCCTTCCCCTCATCATTCTTCTCCCGCACCCACATCTCATCCTCATCACTAGAGAGCTACCCTACGTGGGCGCCAACAGGAACCACTCTCACTCTTCATCTTCATCTCCATCGTCGCCGTCCCCATCATCGTCTTCGTTGCTGTAATTTTGATTGCATATCGTCGTCACCATGCATCCCCATCATCACGATCATCAGCATCATGGCCATCACATTCACCTCCGGCATCACATTAATTATATGTACGCACATGCGCCTGCAAACCCTACCAGACATCAACCAAGCAATATAACATGCCCGACGTGCCGATAGTGGCGGACACGGTCTGCCTCACCCCCGCCCCGTCCAATGTACCACAGGCGTCGCGGGTTTCTCGACGTGTGGGCCGCTTGGATTTTTTCTCGCGCCCGCTTTGGTTGCATGCTCCCTCCTCCTCCTTCGTCCGCCGGAGACCGCCGAAGAGTGCCCGGAACTTGGCGGAAGCCGCCCAGGGCCTTTGCAAGCTGGCGAAAACTCATGGACGCCTCCGCAAACTCCCGAACGCCTCGTCCTCGTCCCCGTCCTCGGCGTCCTCCTCCTTCCCCCTCGTGCCGGCCTCGTCTCACGATTTTGGTGGCACTGCGAGTGGCCCATTCGCTTGAGGCTTCGCCCGCAAGCATTGGAGTCTTAAGGCCAGCGCCCACTGGCGAGGGTGGAAGACCCCGAACGCCTCCAGAGACCTACAGACTCGAGGAGCTGGCGAAAACTCATGGACGCCTCCAGCTCGGCATCGCTCGGACACGAGCTTTCTTCCTTCGGCGCGGACCATCGAGGAGCATCCTTGATCATCTGGCGAGAAAGCCACGCACGAAACCGACTATAGAAAACACACACAGGGAGTGGACGTCCGAGCGACGGCAAGCCAGAGGCCTGCAGACGCGAGGGGCTCCCGTGGGAGCTCCAGGAAGCCCCCAGAGGCCGCCGATGGGGCCCCCGAGAGATAGGCCGCCGACGGCCTCCCAGACCCGGGCGCCCCCCGACATGCTTTTTTCGGTGCGCGGCCCCACGAGGTCTCGACCGCTCCTCCCCCTCCTCCTCCTCCTCCTCCTCCTCCTCCTCCTCCTCCTCCTCCTCCTCCTCCTCCTCCTCCTCCTCCTCCCTCCTCCCCCTCCTCCTCCTCCTCCTAAAATCCTCCTCCTAAATTCCTCCTCCTAAATTCCTCCTCCTAAAATCCTCCTCCTAAAATCCTCCTCCTAAAATCCTCCTAAAATCCTCCTCCTCCTCCTCCCCCTCCTCCTCCTCCGCCTCCTCCTCCTCCCCGACCAACTCCCCGGAGGCAATCTTTCATCCCAGACCAGCTTTTGATGGTCCTGGGGCCGAATGACGGACGGCACCCAGACGCTACCGCGAAGACTCAGGAGCGCCCCGACGGCCCGACACTGCCGGAAGTACGCCCGCCTCTTCGTGCATGTGGACACGGACGGCGACGGGTTCGTCTCGCAGCGGGACGCCCGGCCCTCAGAGGGGAAGGCCCAGCCGGTCGCTCGGAGCTGGGGCAGGAGGCGGGGCAGGGGCAAGGAGGGAAGGGGCCAGGGCATGAGGAGGCGCAGGGAGGGAAGAGGGCGGGGAGGGAGGGTAGGAGCGCGGGGGGGAGGAAGCCTCGGTCGCCCGCATTTTCGGCCCCCCCGCGTGGTTCCCCCCGCTGTCGTCGCGCTCATCGGCCCCACGAACGGCCGCAAGCAAACCGTTTTCCTCATGTCCCTTCCAAGCCAGCGTGGCGGGGGGGGAGGGCGGGGGCGATGGCTGCACCTTACGCAACCACCATGAAGAGGAGGAAGAGGAGGAGGAGGAGGAGGAGGAGGAGGAGGAGGAGGAGGAGGATTGGACACCCATGCAGAGGAAGAGAGAGAGAGAGAGAGGCCGGACGCCCAGGCCTTTGAGAGCCCTCAGGCGCGCCCTGTCGGATGAGAACTTCCCTGCCACCCTGGAGGCACCGTCCGGCCAGTGGCCGACGGCAATGGGCGGGCCGAGGCTGCAAGGGGCCTTCGTCTTCCGGCTCGAGCTGCCCGGGGCTCCTGAGCCGCACGGCCCGGGGCCCCGGCTCGGCCCTCCTCGGGGCCGAGGCCCCGGCAGTCGTCGGCCGGGCAGAGGCCCGCTCTGCCCAGAAGCCGTGGGGCCGAGACGCTCCAGGGCTCGCCCGAGACGGCGCTCTCGCGATCTCGAGGGCCGTGAGATCGTCTCGGTCTGCGTGTGCGGCAAGGGCGGGGCGAGGAGAGAGCCAGGGAGAGCGAAAGCTAGACAGCGGAAAGCACCGTTCCAGTCGAGCCTCGAGACGCTCCGTGAGCCTCCCGCAGGCGGGCCCCCGTCCGCCCCACCCGCCCCCCTGGACCCGAACAACGGACGAACCAGCCGCCCCCAGTGGATCGGTGAGGTTCTGGCGTGGAGCCTGGTCCCGATGGGCCTGCCGAGCGAGCGTGTCGGAGTCTCTCTTGCCTGCGCTCTGGGCGCAGGCCTCGGGGCCCTCACAGGCGGCCTTCAGGCCCCGAGCTCCCCTCGGAGGCTGCGGCATGCTCACCGCAGGTGGTGCACCACGAGGGGCCGCGCAGAGAGTCTGCCGCAGCAGGAGCATTCCCACGGCTCGTTCCGCTTGCCTCCAGGGGGGGGGGCGAAGCCTCGGCACTTCCTTCGGGAGGAGCCTGGATCCCCGTACAGTATGTGCACCAACTCAGAGACCAGGTTGCCAGCAGGTGCCACACGGAAATGTCTTATCTCACGATGGCTGGGGGACCCACAGAAGCCATTTTGGGACACCTTGGGAAGTCCAGAAACCAACGAAGAACGTGTCTCCGAATTTCTTATAGCACGAGGTCTTATCGCACGTGTCTATTCTACAATAGCACGCCCTCGAGCGGGACCTCTGGACCAGACGGAGCCTCCAGGCATACATTTGTGAGCGCTTGAGCCCCGAGGTTATGGTACATTTCCTGGCCGCCATGGTGCGATCCGGCTTTGCCAAGGTATTTGAGCTCTGACCTGGCCAGCGCGAGAACGCCACGAAGCATGAGCATATCATTTGGGGCATGTCTGATCAGAGCCGCCTCTGCTTGGCCAGCTTGTTCGCTCGATGGTTGACTGATTTCCTTTCTCGACGGCCGTAGTCAGATTACCATCTCGAGCTTCCACTCCCTCGGAAGATATACCCCAGAGCCCCCCCGCTTTCCTCGCCTCCCTCTTCCCCCTCCTATCTTGCTCTCCTGGGGCCGTCCTGCTCCCCCTTGCGTGGGCTCTTCCCTCCCGCGGAGGTTATCCTCCCTCCTCTTCTCGCTTCCAGCTCGATGTCACAGCGGCCAGTTGCAAGATGACCCCCCCTGCCCGACAAACGCTGTGTGAGCGGAGGGTGCAGGCAGCAACCTCTGGTACCAAACGCCTGCAGCGTCAGGAGAAGAAGGAGGAGGAGCGGCGGGGTGGAGGGAGGGAGGACAAACTAATGGAAATGGCCACGTCGTGAAGCGACGGATGGAGATGAGGAGATCTGGCCTCTGGCTCGTCTCCCAGCACGACGCAGGAGGGAGGGAGGGAGCGAGGGAGGGAGGAAGGACGGCCGCGAACCTTCCCGCCACCCGCCTCCTTCCTGCCCGGGGGCGAGGGGGAGGGGGGAGGGGCGAGATAGGGAGGGGGGGAGGGGCGAGATAGAGAGAGGGGGGAGGGGGGGAGGGGCGAGATAGAGAGGGGGGAGGGGCGAGATAGAGAGGGGGGAGGGGCGAGATAGAGGGGGGGGGGGGAGGGAGCGGAGGGCGGGGGCGCCCGCGAGGTCGGGCCCGTCTTCCTGCGGGCCGGGCTCGACCCTCCGACGCTGGGCAGGAGCACGGCGGGCGGCCCGGGAGGGGGAGTTGGGGGAGGGGGGGGGCAGGGCCGCGGGAGGAGGAGGCGAGGTCGACGTCCACAGGGGGGGAGGGTCCCCGGAGGGGAAGGTCGACCTCCATAGGGAGGAGGAGGGGAGGTCGGGCCGTGGGAGGGGGAGGGCCCCAGGGGGGGAAGGGCCGCGGGAGGAGGAGGCAAAACACAACAACAACAACAACAACAACAACAACAACAATCATTTTACCCGAACGCTCAGTGTTCTCCCCAGTGCCAGGGTTTTCATGCGACGCCAGCCAATACCCCCACTTCGTGGGGGGGCAATGCAAGCTCTACCAAACATCCACACGACTCTCGGGAACCACCCACACCCAGCTTCCCGCCCTATGACGTCAGGACACTTCACTTCGTGGCGCGCGGACGATCGTGGATACTACACTGGCGTGGAGTACACACCCGCAGAGGTTGATCACTTGTTTGGGCCCCGCATGTGCCCCGCATCGTGCATTTGTTGCGCATGACATACATAGTACAAAGACAGAGAGAGAGACAGAGGACAGCGCGCGCGGGTGGAAATTTTGAAAAGTCGTGCAGGTGTTTTTCGAGGACCTACGGTGCGATTCGTGTGATTTTATGATGCGCGGTGCTAAAATTCTTAAAAACCCAATGGTTTTTGGAGATTTCGGCGTGCGCGCGCGAAGAAAAAACGAATGTGTCCCGCATGGTATTATTTGACAGGGATGATGGCCCTGGCAGGTGCGCAACCGTTGTCGCAGAAGTTCGAAAAAGTTGCTCGCAAAAGCCCGTTTGACAGAATTGTTTAAAAAGTGTTGGTTTTCCTACGAATCCGCAAGAGCGCGCGGAAGAACATTTTGACAATTTTTTCTTAAAAAACCATTGGGTTTTTGATGTTTTTATGTTAAAATCGCTACGAAACCTAAGGTTTTGGAAGGATTTCGTCTTGCGCGCACGAATGTCCACTTTACCTTATTTTTTGCAAGGGATTCTTGCAATTTGATCAAGTAAGAACAAGAATTTTCATTTTATAGTATTTTTTACAAGGGAAAGCGGGGGGGAACAAAACAACCGGATCCGGACACAATCGTTTTGCCTGAGACTTCCTCACGAAAATGATGAAAATGTAGCTGCGGCCTAGGCGCGGCGGGGGGGCCGTGCACCAGGGGTCCCAACAATAATTATTCTTAAGAAGAAATAATGTTCAACAACAACAACAACAACAACAACAACAACGGCAACAGCAACAGCAACAGCAACAACAACAACAAAACACTGTGGGAGGACAAAAAACACACACACACGAGTCTTTGGGGGGGAAAAAAAAAACAAAAAAAAAAAAAAAAAAAAAAAAAGTGAGTGTGTGTTTTTCCCACCGGTCGACGTCCACAGGGGGGGAGGGCCCTGGGGGAGGAGGGCGTTCGGAGGCCCCTGAGGCTTTCTCGGGCAGTTCTGGGCCGTTCTCTCGGGCCTCTGGAGAAGGGGGAGGGGAGGGAGGGAGGAGAAGGTCAGTCAGAGTCGGTCGAACACGGCGGAGGGGGAGCATCGATGGCCAAGGCGTTCTTCCTTTTGTTGACTGCGGGGCCATTGGACGTCCACAGTGACCTCGGAAGGCTTCTGAGGACCTCTGCGATAAAATAACGGTTGGCGGCTTCAGGGTCAAGGATCAAAGGTTTCAGCAGTTTTGACAGCTTTGGGGGCTCCTGCGGGGCCCTCGTCACCACGGTTGGATTCCCTGCGAGATCCTGATCAGAACGCGCCCCAGGACAGGTCTAGAGGTCGATCTTGCATGGGCGGCCCCGACATTTTGGTGCCTTCGGCCAACCCCGCCACCGTGGCTGGGTCGTGGACAAGAAGCCTCGTAAAAGTTTGTTGGGAGGCATCTTGAGGGCCTTTTGAAAGCCTCTTGTCACTGGGCCCTTTGAAGAGTTACTGCAAGAGTGAAGAAAGCGAATTCGACGGGACCAGAGAGCACTCCACCCAGTGCTCGTGGTCGGTGAGATACATATAGATAGATGCATGTGTATAGACATGTATACATCGAAACGTGTATGTATACGTACAGGCCTATATATGTACATAACCTCGTGCGCATGCAGATGTATTTTTATCTAAGAAAATATATGCACACGAATGCGTGAACACGTGCGTATGCATTGACATGCGAAAGCACTTCGAAACAATTGCACATCTAAATGTATGTATGTATGTAGGTAGGTAGGTAGGTAGGCAGGTAGGTAGGTAGGTATGCATACACGCACATGCAAATCCATATCAGAGCGAGGGGGCTGACCCGAACGGTCATTCACTGTCCCTGAGTGCGTCGCTGAAGCGGAACTCCGCGATGCGGATTCGTATTGTTGTTGTTGCTGAATTCTCAGTTCTGAAGAATAATTATTGTTGATCCCCCCCACCTGTGCATACTGTTTTGTCTCAATCAAAGTGTGCCCCTCGACGCTCGCACCCTGTTTTTTGACAGGGAAAGTCTTGATGCTCAAACTGGGCCCCTGGCCCCCCCCGGGTTACAACAACAATTTCTCCCGCTTGAGATTTCTTTATGATTTAGCCAGGACCCCCGCTCCCGCCCGAGACGTCCTCGCATTTTATTCAGGAATCGCGCTCTCGCTTGGGACTTCCTTACAGTTTATTCAGGAATCGCTGTCCCGGCGCTCTGGAGTCGCGCTCTCGCTGGAGACTTGCTTGCAACTTACTGAAGGATGGCCTTGCGCTGGAATTTCCTGCAATTTGCCCAAGCGCCGCGCTCCCGACACCCGGGCACCCAGGAGTCGCGCCCGTTGTGGCCCCATGTGCATGCCCTTCGTGGCCCCGCTGTCGCCATTTGTGTCCCCCTCACTGTCCTACGTGGCCCAGTTGCCACCCTCAGTTGCCCCATAGTTGCCTTCTGTGGCCTCGCATTATCTGCACTTCGTGGCCCCCGCTCGTTCGCGCTCTTCGTGGCCCCATACGCATTCCCTTCGTGTCCCCGCTGTCGCCCTTCGTAGCCTACTTCGTGCCCTTCGTGGCCCTGCTGTCGTTTTCTCTCGCTCTCGCTTTCGCTTGTCGTCGTCGTCGCCGTCGTCTTCGACGTCGTCGTCGTCGTCGTCGTCGTCGTCGTGGTCGGTCCCCTGTCCGTCCCTCTTGGGGTCGGGTCGACGGTCCGCGGCCGCCCCGCCGATCAGCGCTGCCGCTGGCCAGGCCGACGGTCCGCGGCCGCCCCGCCGCTTGCCGGGGCCCGGCCTGCAGGGAAGAAAGGTATACCCCCCAAAAGGGGTTCGATCGAAGACGAAGAGGGCGGGTATCGAGGGTTTGGGAAATACGCGTTATTGGACACTCGAGCATATCAGGGCGAACAGTCTTGAAAGTATTGCTGTTGTTGTTGGTGGTGTTGTCTGTTGTTTGTTGTTTGTTGTTTGTTGTTTGTTGTTTGTTGTTTGTTGTCGTCGTCCCACCCGCGACCCGCCCCGCGACCCACCCGCGACCCACCCCACGACCCACCCGCGACCCACCCGCGACCCACCCGCGACCCACCCGCGACCCACCCCGCGACCCACCCGCGACCCACCCCGCGACCCACCCGCGACCCACCCCGCGACCCACCCCGAAACCCCCCAGGCAACCCACCCGCGACCCACCGGCGCGCTTGCCGCGGGTTTCTTCTGCATTCGTTCCAGGTGGAGAACCTGCGACGACGACGACGACGACGGAAAGGAGGAGGGGGGAGGATCGGGATGGGGGAGGAAGAGGAGGAGGAGGAGGAAGAAGAGGAGGAGGAGGTGGAGGAGGAGGCGGACGAAGACGACGAGGAGGATGAGGACGAGGACGCGGACGAGGAAGAGGAGGAGGAGGAGGAGGAGGAGGAGCAGGAGGAGGAGGAGGAGGGCGCCATCGACAGGGAAGGTGAGGACCACGAGGTCCGCCGGCTCGACGCCCGCGTCGCCCGCGCCCGCCCCCCCACTTTTATCCGCAATTGCGGGGTGCTATGTACGTAGCACCCCGCAGATGCGGATAAGAGTGACGGGGGCAGTGGGGACACCAGCAGTCTGCGAGACACTCTGGAGAAGCCCGCCGCAGGCGCCAAAGCTTCACAAATTACACAACGAGCCCGCCGCAGGCGCCGAATTTATTCGCGAAACCGATGCGGGTAGGTCTCGGGTGCGTCGCGGATGGGTCGCGGGTGGGTCGCGGGTGGGTCGTTGTTGGAACACGCGTGGGTCGCAGGTGGGTCGCGGGTGGGTCGCGGTGTGGGCCGCGGGGTGGGTCGCGGGTGTGGCGCGGGGGTGGGTCGCGGGTGGGTCGCGGGGTGGGTCGGGTGGGTCGCGGGGTGGGTCGCGGGTGGGTCGCGGGGTGGGTCGCGGGGTGGGTCGCGGGTGGGCGCGGGTGGGTCGCGGGTGGGTCGCGGGGGTCGGGTGGGTCGCGGATGGGTCGCGGGGTGGGTCGCGGGTGGGTCGCGGGGTGGGTCGCGGGGTGGGTCGCGGGTGGGTCGCGGGTGGGTCGCGGGGTGGGTCGCGGGTGGGTCGCGGGGTGGGTCGCGGGTGGGTCGCGGGTTGGATCGTGGGGTGGGTCGCGGGTGGGGCGACGACAACAATATCAACACCATAACAACTTTAACAACAACAGCAGCAGCAACAACAACAACAATAACAATCATTGCACCTCATGCGCGATGTTTCCACACGAAACATGCGACCATCATGATAACCTTCCCCATCATGAGGGACAATTGTTCTATAGCGGGGTCCAGTATTCCCATTCACAGATATCCCGCCCAATGAAGTCTTTCAAACACCTCCTCCGAGGAAGTTCAACATATTCCCGTCTCGAAAACACATGCCCGCGCCTTGGCCAGTGGAGCCCCAGCCAACAGGTTTGTCTTGGCGGGGATGGGGGGTGTCAGCAGCGAGGCAAGGACCTGGCCCTGAATAGAAACGGAAGAAGTCTCGAGCAGGGCCGCTGTTGTTGCTGGGAGCGGCGCCAATGCTGAAGAGAGTAGGGCGCTTGTCCAGCATAGAACAAAACGAAATCTCGAGCGGGAACGCTGGTTTTGTTGGGACGGCGGTTGTCGGCGGCGATGAGGAACACCCGCTTGAGCAAAAAGAGAGGAAAGCTCGAGCGGGAGCCGTGGTTTTGTCGGGGCGGGGGTTGTCGGCGGCGAGGAACAGCACGGTCTTCAGGAAAAAGGGAGGAAGCCTCGAGACGGAGCGTTGTTCTTGCTGCGAGCGGCGCCAATTTACAAGAGAGTTGGGCGCCAGCCCAGCGTAAAACGGGAGGAAGTCTCGGGCGGGAGCGCTGGTTTTGTCAGGAGGGCGGTTTTCGGCGGCGAGGAGGAACACCGCCTTGAGTAAAAAAGGGAGGAAGCATCGAGCGGGAGCGTTGTTTTTTACTGGGGGCGGCGCCGATGAGAGAAAGAGTAACGCGCCAGTCGAAGGTAAACTGGGAGGAAGTCTCGAGCGGCAGCGCTGGTTTTGTTGGGACGGCGGCTTTCTGCGGCGAGCAAGAGCACCGGCCCTGAGTAAAAACGGAGGACGTCTCGAGCGGGAGCGTTGTTGCTGTTGGGGGGCCGGTTTTGGCGTCCCCCAATCCGCTCGAGCGTGAGTTTCATTTTCAATGAAAATGTAGCCAGGGCACCCAAATGCCCGGGGGGTCCGAAAAACAATAATTGTTTTGTAATTAACATTCATCAACAACAACAACAACAACAGCAGCAGCAGCAACAACAACAACAATCGGTGTACCATTTTTGTTACGCGCGATGTTTCCACACGAAGCATGCGACCATCATGATAACCATCCACATCATGGGGGACTCTTGTTCTATAGCGGGGTCCCCTATTCCCATTCTCAGATCTCCCGCCCAATGAGGTCTTGCAAACACCTCCTCCGAGGAATTTCAACATATCCCGCCTCGAATACACATGCCCGCGCCTTGCTGCGCCGATGCGAGACCGCCAGTGGGTCGCGGGGTGGGCCGCGGGTGGGTCGTGGGTGGGTCGCGGGTGGGTCGCGGGTGGGTCGCGGGGTGGGTCGCGGGGTGGGTCGCGGGTGTGTCGCGGATTGGGTCGCGGGTGGGTCGCGGGTGGGTCGCGGGTGGGTTGCGGGGTGGGTCGCGGGGTGGGTCGCAAGTGGGTCGCGGGTGGGTCGCGGGTGGGTCGCGGATGGGTCGCGGGGTAGGTCGCGGGTGGGTCGCGGGGTGGGTCGCGGTTGGGTCGCGGGTGGGTCGCGGGTGGGTCGTGGGGTGGGTCGCGGGTGGGTCGCGGGGTGGGTCGCGGGTGGGTCGCGGGTTGGATCGTGGGGTGGGTCGCGGGGTGGGTCGCGGGATGGGTCGCGGGTGGGTCGTGGGTGGGTCGCGGGTGGGGCGACGACAACAATAACAACACAACAACAACAACAACAACAACAACCACAACAATAATATTAAAAACAATTCATTGCACCCTCATGCGCGATGTTTCCACACGAAGCATGCGACCATCATGATAACCATCCCCATCATGGGGGACTATTGTTCTATAGCGGGGTCCGGTATTCCCATTCCCAGATCTCCCGCCCAATGAGGTCTTTCAAACACCTCCTCCGAGGAATTTCAACAGATCCCGCCTCGAAAACACATGCCCGCGCCTTGCTGCGCCGATGCGAGACCGCCAGTGGAACCCCAGCGAAGGTTAAAGCACAAGGAAGTATCGAATGGCAGGATTGCTTTGGTGGGGATGGGGGCTGTCGGCGGTGAGGCAGGACCTGGCCCTGAATAGAAACGGAGGAAGTCTCGAGCAGGGCCGCTGTTGTTGCTGGGAGCGGCGCCAATGCTGAAGAGAGTAGAGCGCTAGTCCAGCGTAAAACAAAACGAAATATCGAGGGGAACTCTGGTTTTGTTGGGACGGCGGCTTTCGGTGGCGAGGAGGAACACCGCCTTGAGTAAGAAAGGAGGAAACATCGAGCCGGAGCCGTGGTTTTGTCGGGATTGGGGCTGTCGGCGGCGAGGAACAGCACCGTCCCGAGGAAAGAAAACAAAAAAAAAAAAAATGTCGAGCGGGAGCGTTGTTCTTGTTGGGAGCGGCGCCAATTTACAAGAGAGTAGGGCGCCAGCCCAGCGTAAAACGGGAGGAAGTCTCGGACGGGAGCGCTGGTTTTGTCGGGGCGGCGGTTTTCGGCGGCGAGGAGGAGCACCGCCTTGAGTAAGAAGGGAGGAAATCTCGAGCGGGAGCCGTGGTTTTGTCGGGACGGGGGTTGTCGGCGGCGAGAAACAGCACCGTCTTCAAGAGAAAGGAAGGAAGCCTCGAGAGGGAGCGTTGTTCTTGCTGGGAGCGGCGCCAATGCAAAACAGAGTTGGGCGCCAGTCCAGCGTAGAACGGGAGGAAATATCGAGCGGGAGCGCTGGTTTTGTCGGGGCGGCGGCTTTCGGTGGCGAGGAGGAGCACCGCTATGAGGAAAAAAGGGAGGAAGCTTCGAGCGGGAGCGTTGTTTTTGCTGGGGGCGGCGCCGATGAGAAAAAGACTACCGCGCCAGTCGAAGGTAAAACGGGAGGAAGTCTCGAGCGGCAGCGCTGGTTTTGTTAGGAACGTGGTTTTCGGCGGCGAGCAACAACACCAGTCCTGAATGTAAAAGGAGGAAGTCTCGAGCGGGAGCGTTGCTGTTGTTGGGGGGCCGGTTTTGGTGGTCCCCCAAACCGCTCGAGTGTGAGCCTCATTTTCAATGAAAATGTAGCCGGCGCCTCGGCGAGAGCGCCAGGGCGCCTGTAAGGGGTCCAACCATAAAAATGTTTAGTAAGGAACAACAACAAAAACAAAAACAACAACAACAACAACAACAACAACAACAACAACAGCAACAACAACAACAACAACGACGACGACGACGACGACGACGACGACGACGACGAAGACGACGACGACGACGACGACGACGACGACGACGACGACGACTACGACAACGCAACAAGCATAATCCTCACCACGGATCGACACTTCAGCCACACACCCAAGGACAATGAATGACCGTTCGGCCCCCTCACTCAGATATACAAACGCACGTATGATCCACATGCCCACATAGCCACCGATGCGCGTGTTTCTATACAAGTATAATAAAATCGTTACATGCATGCGTGCATGTATCTGCCTAGACATACACACGTACGCATGTACACGCGAATATACATACAAGAAGGATCCCGGGCCCAGGGCCCCTGTCCGGCTCCTCCCCTGTATTTCGGTGCCCCTTCTCCCCAGGGACCTCCCAGGGCGACCCCCAGAGGCCTCAGAAAGCCAGAGAATCTTCCTAGACCACCCAAGATAGTTTGCGACTGGCACTCAAGGCCCCCAGAAGCGCCCCACGAGAGCTCCAAGACTGTCCCAGATGGCGCCGCGACAGCCCCAAGACGCTCCAAGACGCCCCCAAGAGGCCCCTCAAGAGGGCCCCAAGAAGCACAAACCGCCCGATCCATTTGGGAAGACGTATATGTTTAGCAGATTCGCCTCTTGGGCTTCCACAGCGTCCACAACGGCCCAAGATACTCCCAAGGCGGCCCAGCAGACCCCCAAGAGAGCTCCAGGACGGCCCAAAAAGGGCCCAAGACGTCCCAGGAGGCCCCCAAGATGGCCGAACAGAGTCCCAGGACAGGCCCAAGAGGGGTCCCAGAGGAGGAATAACAAATTCAAAGTTCGAGCCTTGGCCCTGAGAGGCCCCAGGAGGCCCCAAGAGGTTCCCATTAGGCCCCAAGAGGCCCCAAAGGGGCCCCCAGGGGCTTCCAAGAGGCCCCAGGAGACCCCGGAGCTCGCGAGATTCTAATGAGGGGGGAGACCCCCCAGTTCGCGCACGTGTCGTGAGATTTTTCCAAGGCAAGCGAACTTGAAAAGCGCTGTCGCTGCGAAAAATGGACCCCCTGACACATCGCGAAAACATCGGTAAACAAACTCAGGGAGGGGGACGGTATAGAAGACGATGTTTGGAAGAGGGAAGGGAAGAGCTCGCTAAACCGCCCCAGCCCAAAGGGCCTGTAGGACTCACAAGTAGCATGTCTTTCGACCACCGGGGGGGGGGGCCGCTCTCGGGCCTCAGAACCGTCAGGGAACGGCCCGACACCGGAAAACACGAACAGTTCGTCTCGGGATGAGGTTGGAAGGCTCCGGTGGAGGCCCACGCAGCTTCCCTCCTCCCCTTTCCCCGCTGTCCCCCTCTCTTCCGCCCCTCCGTCCCCCTCCGTCTCTTCGCCCCATCCCCCACCTCGCCCACGCTTCCACTGGACCCCAGCTTCCACCCAGGATCTGGAGCGCGGTCGACGTCGGCCGCGCGGGCCGCATCGGGTTCCGAGGATTCGTGGGTGCCATGCACCTGATCCAGGCGGCTGGAGGGTCGGGGGAGAAAGCGCCAGCGGAAGAGGCCGCGGAGGAGCTTGCTGCCAGACGAGCGCAGTCGGGTTCCAGCCGCGCTCTGCCACCTTCGAGACCACTGCCACACTCTTACCGACACATCTGGCCGCACGCACACACACACACATATACAAACACACACTCACACACACACACACACACACACACACATGCACACATGTACACACCACACACATACACATATACAGATGCCCCCGTGTGCCAACACGAATTTGCATCCTCTTCATTACACGACGTATGTGTCCACTTGGTCTCAGGTGCTTGGCCGTTTCAGAATAATGGGCGCGGAATATGTCCCTTGGGCTTGCGCCCTCGACGCCGCGCCGAGGCGGATTTGAGGAGCGTTTTCTCTCGCGATATGTTTATGTATATGTATGTTTGTCTTTGTTTGTTGTCTCTCGTTCTCTTTCTCTCGCTCCCTTTCTCTCTCTCTCTCTCGCTCTCTCTCCTTCTCTCTCTCTCTCTCTCTCTCTCCATCTCTCTCTCTCTCTCTCTCCGGCGCGTGCCATGCCAGCGCGCAGGAGGACAAGCAGAGCCGGGGCGGAGGACCGTGGGAGGAAGAGCGAGAGCGAGCGGCAGCGCTCCGTACGACCATCGGGGACGGGAGCCAGACCGCCAGGCGGGCGGGGTCTCCCTCTCGCCGAGCTCGGAGACGGTCGACGAGGTCTGGCAAGAGGTCCGAAGATGGCACGTGACCACAGAAGTCACGGCCAAGACGAAACTGACGCCTGGGGTCACGGAGGCCGACGGCACAGCCGAGAACGTGGGCGGAAACGGTGTCGCGACCAGCCCGGCCAAATGTTATTCTTGCAAGGACGAGTGCTGGTTTGTGTTTCATTGTTTATGTTGTTTTACGCGGACGGTGAGACGTTTTCCTGCCACAGTATCAGTTCAGTCGTCGCACACGAGCACGTCGCCAAGACCATGGGAGGCGAGACCCCGCGGGCGCCCATTAACAAAATCCCAGACCCCTCGCGCCCGTGCCACTACGTGTGCTTCAGGTGCCATGGGAGTAAGCAGCACGGCGACGTGAAGATCTGGACCAGGCCAGTGACCTACAGCCTGAAGTCTGGATGGTTCAACTTGAGAAGCAAGCAGAAGAAGGAATCGCCGACGCAGCAGACCAAGACCTTCGAATTCGCCATGGAAGCGAAGCTCGCGAAGCACCAGGACGGTCCCGAACGTCAGCCTGGCAAAGGTTAATTATCGAGGCAATCCTGAAGGAGGAGCGTTTGGGGGTTGTGGCAGACTTCACGATTGCCTTCGGCGGGGATAACCATATCACGCACGCGTGCCAGCACTGCAAGACGGCCCCTTCCAAGCCGAAGGAGCGGGCGGGCTGCGTGGCTCCCGCGCAGCTGGACGACCAAGGGGGCACCACCGAGGGAGGCCACTGGATGTGCGCGAGCAAAGGGCGTGGCCGCAGGCGGGCGGAGAAGGGCACCGACGTGTGGGAGCACCGCTCCATCATCTTCCCGTCGCGCCCCATCATCGGGAAGGGCATCATGGAGCTGGCCAGCGACGGGGAGGTGAACCAGATCGAGCATACCCAGCAGCATAGCCAAGAGGACCATGCAGCAATGGTTTACTTCGACCACGGGACCCCAGGGCAGGAAGATACCCTGATGAGGACGGCCAAGTTGGCGCCCGCCATAAGCACCATGAAAGAGAAAGAGATCAAGCTGGACGAGCTGTCGGAAAAGGAGCTCGGCGCGGCCATCGGCGCTCACCAAGCACGTGCCCGCGCTCTCAGAGGAGAGGACCATTGCAGACGTGATCCGAAATCTGCACATTCGCTCCTGCTGGGAGGACTCGCGCCTCTCCCAACACAAGTTCCCAGGCAACTGCCCCGCCTTCCACCCGCCGGAGAATTGTCCCACGCTGCATTATGCAGATCGCGACCGGGTGATCGATGGTCCGCCCCCGTTTTCCGTTTTTCAAGATTTCGGACTCCGCGAACAACCCGCAGACAGCCAAAGCGGGCAATAAGAAGGGGCAGATTTCGAGGCCGTGGGAGCGGGCGCGCGATCGCCAGCCGTTGGCCGCAGAGGACCTGATCGAGCGCAACAGCATGCTCTGATCAGGTCGGCGGGGCCCGACGAGGCGTTGAAGCAGCGGCAGCGGAGGCGCCCCAGACGGCTGATCAGGGCGGAGCGCCGCTACCGCACAGAGAGAACGGCCGCCATGCAGCCTAGGACGTGGGGCCACCACGCGGCGACGTCGCGCTGCGGTGCCAGCTGGCCACGAGACGCGGGCTGCGCAGCGTAAGTGGTTGCATCCGCGACGTAGGGCCCCATGCTACCTTTCGGGACGGGGGCCTCGCCGGCGGGGGAACGCGTGAGACGGCCGCCGCGAGGCCCGGAGCGCGTCGGGAGTTGTTGTCGCTTTGCGAGCAGGCGGACCGCGCGCGGCTGAAAAGTTCCTCGCGCCCCGCTGAAGGAAATGAGGCGGAGGAGCTGGGTGAGAAGGCGGTCGGGCCCCCGACGCTCGTAGCGTCTGGGGCGGAGGGCACGGCATCCCCCTTTCACTTTCGGGTCCCCTATCTCGCCACTCTCGGCTTTGCTGATGACTCGCTCCCATCGCTGAGAGGGGGTATCAAGTTCCTGGAAGTGGCAGGTGCCCTGCGCACAGGGCCCCAGGCACCGCCCCCCAGAAAAGGGGGACAAACGTCACCTCAGTGTTTCCCCTTCTCTTCCGCTGTCGCACTACTACGAAGGTTCATCGAAGATACGCCCCCACGTCTCAAAACGAAAGTGTATCCTCTTCCTTGCCCGACGTGTGTGGCCATTTGGGCTCAGGTGCTTGGCCGCTTCAGAATATCCCACCCGCAACCGCCCTGAGGCATCAAGTCCTTGGGGGGGGGCAGGTGCTCTGCGTACAGGGCCCCAGGCACCGCCACCCATAAAACGGACACCACCGTAACCGCACTATTCCCGTTACCTGCTTGCTGCTATCGCACCGCTATTACGGCGCATCGCGTATACGCATGTATGTGTATATATATATACATTTATATATATGCACACACGCATATACATATGCATATACAAAAGAGTGTGTTGGCGCTTCGCGCCGGGTATTTTTGTTTGTGATGCTTGGCATGGAGACGGACGGGCGGGAAGGTAAAACGGAGCATTTACCTATAAGTATTGTTGCCGTTTTTCTTACATCGCTCTATCAAAATAGGGGGCCAAACGGTCATTCACTGTCCCTGGGCGCGTGGCTGAAGTGAGGTTCTGCGGTGCGGATTGTTGTTGTTGGTGTTGTTGTTGAACTCTCACGACTGAAGAGTAAGTATTGTTGACCCCCCCTCCGGTAGCATATGTGTTTTTCAACTAAAATGCCTCCCCCGGGGCTCGCACCTGGTGTTTCATAAAGGAAAGCCTTCCTCCTCAAACTGCGCTGTTGGCCCCCGAGCTACAACAACAACAACAACGGTTCCCGCTTGGTACTTCCTCACAATGTATTCCCAAATCGCGCTTTCGAGCGGGACGTCTTCATAATTTATTCAGGAATCGCGCTCTCGCGTAGGATTTCCTCGCAATTGATTCACATGCCGCGCCTTCGGCATTCAGGAGTCACGCTCTCGCAATGGATTTCTTCACGATTGATTTGGGAATCGAGCTGTCGCTCGAGACTTCCTCGCGATTCATGCAGGAGGCACGCTTCAGCAACCCGCCTGCTCGACCTGGCCGCCTGGGCCTTCCTTCCCGCCCGATCTGCCCATCTGCTTCTGCCACGTGTTTTCTGCTCATAGCCCCCCTCCTCCTAGTCTCCGTCGTGCTCCATCCTCCTCCTTCGTCCTCGGTTTCCTTGCCTCAGGGGCTGCACGAAATACACGTTGCAGGTAAGAAAAATACACCCTCAAGGAGGTACGGTCGAAAACGAAGAGGGCGGGTATCAAAGGTTCGGGATGTACGTGTTGAATGGCACGCGAGCAGATAAGAGCGAAAAGTCTTAAAATGATTGTTGTTGGTGTCGCTATTAGGAAAGAGGAGGAGGAGGAGAAGAAGGATGAGGAGACCTTTTGGGAGCTTATTTGGCCGTCTGAAGGCTTTCCTGGCCTGTCGGAAGCCGTCTTGGGAGCCTCTCTGGGCCGTCTTGGTGCTGTCATGGGGCGCTTCAGAGCCGTCTTGGAGGTCATCTTGAGCATCTTGGAGGTTTTCTGGGCCGTCTTGGGGCCCTTTTGGGCATGTTTTGGGGGCCTCTTGGGCTGTCGGGGGGCAACTTCGGAGGTCTCTTGGGCGCTCTTTGAGGCACCGTGTGTCGTCGAGAAGCCGAACATGAGCAAGCACCAGAAGATTTTAAAGACCGAGTGGCAATACATGATCTTGGCATCTTCGGGCATTCGCAGAGGTCCTCTTCACAGCCTCTAGGGCGGTTTTGGAGCCCTCTTAGGCAGTCTAGGGCGATCTTGAGGCCATCTTGGGCGGCGGGAGGACGAGGAGGGGCGAACTCCGGCTTGGCTGGGATGGTATGAAGTCATATGTTGGATGGACGATGGGGCAGAATCAGATGCACATTGCGATACGAAAAGATGCATTGTGAACCCCAGGAGGGTAGATCCTAATATTCTTTAAGTAAAGAAAATCTACGTGCTGCAATCTACGTGGTGCAATATGTGAGGTGCAGCTACTGCAAAGCCAGGCGAAGTGATGCAAGGCAATGCGATTGCAAAGCAGTGCGATTGCGATGCAAGTCAAAGCGATGCAAAGCGGCTCAAGGCAGCGCAAAGCAATGCAAAGCAACGCAGGCCCAGCCGGCGGGCGCCGACGAGGCGGCGACGGGGCGGCGACGGCGACCACGGACCGCCAGACTGACGGTCAGGCCCAGACGTCGGGAGGCAACGAAGCGGCGACGGGGTGGCGACGGCGACCACGGAGCCGCCAGACCGCCGGCCAGGCCCAGACGTCAAGCGGCGACAGGGCGGCGACAGGGCGGCGACTGTGTCCACGGAGCCGCCAGACGGACGGTCAGGCTCAGACGACGGGTTGTGACGAGGCAACGACGGGACGGCGACGGCGACCACGGAGCCGCCAGACCGACGGTCAGGCCCAGTTCCTTTAGACAAACAAGTAACAACCCCTAATTGCAAGCACTGTTTTGGGATGCTGTTTTTGTTTTGTTTATATGTATATACGCACTTCCAGGGCTCCAGGAAGCCCCCGCTGGGCTTAGGCGCCAGATCCAATTCGGTCAGGAAGGTGGCCGAGCGGCCCTGCGGCCCCGCGAGAACTCCAAGATGCCCCAGACACCCACTGGGCGCTCGAAGAGGGCCCAAAACAGACCCCCTAAGAGGTAATCGAAACCCAAAACACATGCATTGATAATGGTTTGCATGATTTGAGAAATTCTGTGTTTCTTGTTTTCCGTGCGTCCGAAAAGGCCGAGGAGACCATAGCATCGCCCCAAAACGACTTCCAATTGCTTCCAGGCGGTCCAAGAGAGCCCCAAGACTGCCCAACAGGGCTCCAAGATGGCCCGAAAAGAGCTCAAGACGGCCACAAGACGCCCCACGAAACATTTGAATCGTGACCCCGTCCTTCAGGGAGACCGCGGTTGGAAGCTGAGGGTAGCCCGAGGAAGCCCCCATAGGTCGCCACAAGGAACCCAGGAGGCCTCCAGAAGGCCACAAGGTCCAGGGTAGGGCGAGAACGATGGAGAGGAGGAGGAAGCCTGAGGAAAGGCTAATGAATAACATTATTAAACCGGCAACGTCGGAAAAGTCAATAAGGAGCTACCGCTAAAGTTGCAAGTTGATTTTCTTGGCCTTCTGCCTGCGAGGACAATTTGTGTATATTTGTACATATACTGTGCCAGACCGAAGACACGGCCCAGTCCCTGAGAGCAGAAGTAAGGACCCCTGAGTGCAAGCACTGCTTGGGGAGTAGATATACATATTCAGAGACTTGTCTACACATATGCATGTATATATATACACACATATGCATCTGAATCTGTAGATATGTAGCTCCATCCAGTGTTCAAACTAGGTGCTCTTGTTTCGGTCGTGCGGAATCGGACTCTTGTTGCGGATTCTCGCCTGGTGGCTGATCGGTTGCCGCCCGCGGACGCCCTGTGGGCGCCCCGTGCGCCGTGGGGGGGTCTCGCCTGGTGCCTGGTCGATTGCCGTCCGTGGGCGCCTCAGGGCGCCCCGTGCGTTGCGGCGGGCTCTGCCTGGTGCCCTGTCGGTTGCCGCCCGTGGGTGTGCACCTCGCAGGCGCCGCGTGGGCGGTCGCCCGTGGGCGCCTCGTGGGCACCCGCGAGGCTCGCATCGCACGGCTTACACCACACAAGTTGCACCACAGACCTTGCACATCTACAGCGCGATTCTTCATTATTCGGGGTCCACGCGAGGAAGGCGGTCATATATGTGTGGGTATGTGTATACATACATACATACATACATGCATGCATGCATGCATGCATACATACATACATACATACACACACACACACACACACACATACATACATACATCAAACATACATGCAGACATACATCGTTGGGAGAGCACCAAGCACCTACACTGTCTTCGAGCGCGCCTCGGCCCAAAGGCAGCTCATGGACACGTGCGCTTTTGATTCACACGCGCGCAGGTTTTTTTTGCGGCGGCGCGGACGCGCCCTGATTTCGCTTCGCTCGAAACTGTTCGCAAGAGGCTCGCGTTGGTCGCCAATGCCCAGGCATCTAACGATGTCATGCGTTCAACGTGCGGCCCCGAAGGTCCCGACCGCTTCCCCTGGGGCAGTTTTTAATCCGTGATCCGTTTTTGATGGTCTTGGGGCCGGATGACCGGCCCTGGACGCCGAAATCGAGGAGAAACGCCCAGATTGAAGAGATCGAATCGTCGGAGATTTGGGGGGAGGTCGTTTCACCCAGCCCGATTCGCATCGCCAGGACTCCTCTTCGCCACGGCTCACCCGCGGGGCGGACACGGCGCGCGGGCGGGCGCGTGTCGGGCGGGGACGGGGTCTTGCGGGCAAAGCGGGTATCGGGCACAGCTGGTTTGGGCACACTCAGGGGAGAAAGAAGGACCCAGGCACCCGACGTCGTGATCTTCACGCAACGTGGCTCCTCAGAGGTCTGGGCCCCTGTCCGGGGACCGGCGTTTCATCCCGAGCTGTTTCTTGACAGTCTTGAGGCCCGGCCAGGGCATCCCAGAAGCTGAAGACTGCCAACAGCTTGCCGTCGCACTTGTCCCACCACGCGAGAATGCCAGGAGAGGAGGAAGAGGACGACGACGACAGGGAGGGAGCCTGGGCCGAGCTCGATGCCCAGGCGGCCCGCTCGGGGCGCGCGCCGCCGGAGCGGGTGCCGCCCGAGCTGGCCGAGGCGCTGCGCGCCATCCAGGCGGCGCGCGGGGCCACACCGGAAAGTGTCTGGGGCGGGCGGCGGCGGCCGTGACAGCGGGCGGCGGCGGCCGTGACCACGGGCGGCGGCGGGCAGCACGGCCCAGACTTCCGGCGATCTATATATATATATATATATATGAATATATATATATATATATATATATATGTATGTGTATGTGTATGTGTATAAATATATGTATATATGTATGTGTGTGTGTGTTCCTACACTTCTGTGTTGGGTTCGCGGTTTGGAGAGGCACCGCCCCAGGTTACTTCCTTCCGTCCTCCTCCTCCCCCCTCCTCCCTCCTCCTGTCCCTGCTCATGCCCTGCTGATGCCCTCACCTCATCACCATCCCGCGTGCCCCACCCGGTTCGGCATACCCATCTATGTTGTGCAACGTATGCGGTGCAGTACGCGTTGTGCATGGTATGTTGTGCAACCTATGTGGTGCGACCCATGTGGTGCAATCTGAGCGGCGCACTTGAGTTTTGCAAACGAGTTGACACATTCCATGTTTTCGCAAACATCCCACCCACCCACCCGCAAGTTGGTTTGCAATGCCCATGCGGCGGCGATTGCGATGAGTGCTTGGCGTTGGCTGGTGCATCTCTGCGGCCGCGCTAGCCCGCGCATGCTCGCGCGCGCAACGGCCAGCTAGTTTGGCGCGACCAACGCGGCCGCGGTGACGCTGACCGCTGGGCATTTCCCAGCGGGCACTTCAATGCAAGACGATGACTTGGGCGGGCGCGCTACCATGGCGACGCCGACAATGGTAGACGCGATTATGAGAGTAGTGATGATGCTGACGATGGTGGCGATGACGACGGCAAAGCCAGCCACGGCGCCGATGAGGATCTCGCCCGCCGATAAAGATGACGATGTCCTCGCGTCGTCGATGAAGGTTTTTGAAGGTATTCGACATGCGCACGCGGCCGACGCGCGCGAGTGGCCCGCGTAGTAGTATTTGATACGGAGCCTGCCCCCCACCCCACCCCCCAGCTGTCGCGCAACGTGTTCGATTGAGTTCGGCATGCGGCACGAGAGGCCCGTTTGCAGAATTTGATGAAAATAAATGTGGTATTCTCAGAAATCCGCATGACCGCGGGCGTATTGTTCTGTTGGGGGAACTGTTGTTGCAAAACCTTGTGGTGTCATATGTTATCGGATCAGTCGTTTTTGAAATCCCTGCGAAACCTAAAGTTTTTGAATGATCCCGGCATGCGCGCGCGACGACGCGCGGGTGTGCACGTCGTTTCGTGTTCCAATGGGTCTTGCGACAGCACGCGTGCAAGGGCGTCCGACCGACTTCGGCATCCGCGCGCGAGAAGCCCATTTGGTAGCATTTTATGAAAACGTTGGCAAAACTTGGTTTTCTTGAACATTCGCAAGAGCGCGGGCGCTCGAGTTGTTTGAAAACCCGGATTGCGAAACCATGTGCTCGTATCTGTATTCGTGATTCCATTTTGAAATCCGTACGGAACCTAAGGTTTTTGAAGGATTCCGGCATGCGCGCGCGACGCGCGTGTGCAGTTCGTTCCATCTGTTGCAAGGGATTTGGAGAAACGGGTGATTTGTGGTAAACGAGCGCGGGCGCACAAGTTGTTGCTGCAGAGGATAAGGGGGCGGCGATGCTGGCCTGCCTGGCATGGTGCGAATTCATATTTAGGATGGACGATGTTGCAAAACCACATGTAAACTGCAATACGAGAAGGTAGCCGGTTAATCTTGGGGGGGCGTAGATCTTATTATCTCTTCAAGTGGGAGAGTTTATGTTGTGCACTATGTATACGGTGCAATCAATGGGCGGCGATGAGGGGGCAAGAGTGCGGCGACAGCGAGCTCGGAGCCGCCAGGCCGCCACCCAGGGCCAGACGACGGGCGGCGAGGAGGCGGCGACGGGGCGGCGACGGCCAGCACGGAACCGCCTGACCGCCAGCCAGGCCCAGACGACGGGCGGCGACCGGGCGGCGACGGCGACCACGGAGCCGCCAGACCGCCCCCTTGGCCTTTTTTTTTGTTACCTAACAGCGAAGACTGATAGGTTTCTAGTGGGATCAAAAGAGAGCAGCAGATCACTCCACAGGGGGGTCCGGGCAGGTGTTGGGAGTTGCCGGGCGGCAGGTGCCGGGCTCGTTTTTCACCAACAGTCACACACTTCGTGCTCTTCGACTTCCCAGAACTCCATTCCCAGGCCACATTCTCAATACCCGGATGCAACAGTCACACACTTCGTGCTCTTCGAGATCCCAGAACGCCATTCCCGGGCCACATTCTGGAGGGCCGGATGCAACAGTCATACACTTCGTGCTCTTCGA